GGGGGGGGGTAACATTTGGGGTAAGGTAACTTTGTTGCACGGCGGGGTCGGAATGCCAACGACTTGCAACTAGATTACTCTTTGTCTGACCGAGAGCGGACGAGGGCGGCGGCATCACTAAATGAAACCGAACAAAGTTTTGTATATCCTTGCCAGGGGAGAGGGGGGCGTCGCTCTAGCTCGCGGTAGTCTCTTTGCAGTGGTGGCTAGACTTTGTCCCCACGTAATCACACAAAATTAACCGCCGTCTCTCAGCGACGGGGTGCTCTGCATCCGCCTCTCTCGCCCCCACCCGGCGTCCAACGGGAGAGAGTGAGAGTGAGCGAGACAGCCGCAGGGGGGCTGTTTGCTCGAGTCCCCGGCCACCCTACCCCTACTCGCACCCGCACCCCGACTGGGGAGGTTCCATTCCTGGCCAACTGGCCAATGGCTTTGGGGAAAGATGGCCTAATTAAGGCTAGTTTAATTAAAGCAGAGGACATGGGCGAGGCATCGGACGATAGGGGTCGGACCGGGAGGGGAAAGGACCCGAACCGGACGACCTTGACAACGGGAGGACAATGTTGAGGCCAGTAAAAGGCACAGGGGCGTGGCAAAATCAGAGCGTCTCTTTTATTACAGAAAGAGAAAGGGTTCGGCACTTGCCGCTCGATCGGTCGAAACGTATCAAATGACCGTGCCGATATATATTGTCATCGTCATATCGACTACTCTGCTCGAGTTCCTGACCGGGTTGAGGTTGAGCGTGACGTGCAGTCCAGTGACGTGAAGAGTGTCGCAGAGCGGCCGCTCCTGGCGGGGGCACGTCCTCTTGAGCGCGTCCACGTGGCTGCGCAGCTCCTGCAGTCGGTCCTGCACCTGCAGGCCGGCCTGCTTGGCCTCGGCCAGCGACTGCAGCAGCAGCTGCACTTTCCCAGACACGGCTTGGGACGCTACAGCGAGGGACAGAGATGACATGACATCAACAAATCAAAGAAAAATAAAAGAACTCGCCCACATGTGAAAATTGACAGGCTAAACAGGCGATCCAACTTTATAGCAGAGGGTTCGAATTTGCTGATTAATTCAACTTTGCGATAACGTTTTCAACGGGATTGATTTTTTTTACCGCCAGCCACGTCCAGGAGCGCGTCGAGCGCCACGTCCAGCCCCGTCTCGGCGGCTAGCTCTCGCTGCAGGGGCCTGCCGAGCAGCAAGTCCACATCTGGAAGCAAACGAGGCCTTGACAAGGATCCAAACACTTATGTTAACACATTGAAATACAGCGTAAAGTCTGGGACGGGCTAGTTAGGCTACGACGTGTAAAAGCTCGAACCTCAAACATTGTGCCCTAAATAAAAAGTCTCTAAAACAAAGCTATTCGCAAACTTTGAAATGTTTGTTGGACACCTTTTGGCCTCCTTACTGTTGAGGTCCTCGCGACAGGCGAGCACGGCCTGGCGGAAGGTGCCCACGATGAGCGAGTCGATCTGCAGGCGGGCGTTGCGCACGAAGACGTCCACGTCCCCCAGGGCGGCCTGCACCACGACGGGCGCGCCGGCCACCGCCACCGACACCTGCTGGTTGGTGGCGAGCTGCGCGCCCACCGACAGCCTGCGCATAGAGAGAAAGGGAGGGCTCTCAGGAAGCTGCGGGAGGCCGAGGACCGCATGGCCTCGGGCAGTGCCAGGGCTGCAGCACTCACAGCAGCGCGAACAGGATGGAGGTGAGCAGGGCCAGCATGGAGCGCTGCTGGCAAGGGTAGCCGTCCACGACGCGCGGGTCCCAGGCCTCCAACGGCGGCGGCCCCGAGGGCGGCGGGCAGGCCGGCGGCGGGGGTGTGTCCGGTGGCGTCTCGAGGGGCGACTCGCCCTGCGCGGCCGCCTGCCGCCGCTTGCCGCCGCCGCCGCCCCGCGCCGCCCCCGGTTGACGGCTACCCCCACGCGACGACGCTCCCGAGGCCGGGGTGGCGGCGTCCTCGCCGTCAGCGCAGATGCGCGCGCACGCGTAGCACAGGCAGAGGCACGGGCAGACCAGGGCCAGCAGCACGTAGACGAGGGTCAGCGACAGGAAGCCGGCCTCCAGCTGCAGGACCTGCAACACCACCGCGGCACCGCTGTCAGTGACTCGCTCCCCATCCTCATTCTGCATGCCCCATCCCCTATCCCCCCCCTCCCCCGTTTCCCTTGTTGCAGTCACCCTTTTTCCAAACGCGCTTCTCTTCCCAGCGTGGGAGTTGGCAGCACCGCTTGCTTGGCCGCGTTCATCCCTTGCCCCTGTTTCCGGGTGGGCGACAGAGAGAGACAGGCCCAGCCCACCCTCTCCGGCCTGAGCGAGCGAGCGAGAGAGAGAGAGCGCGTAAGGAGTGGAGAGAGAGGGAGAGGAGAGGAGAGGAACGGAGAGGAGCGGAGAGCGAGCCTCTCCCGGGGACCGAAGCGGGCGGGGCGAGGCGCTCCAGCCGGGCCGTGGGGAGACCAAGGCGGGCGGGGCGAAGACGGGGGCCGAGGATTGGACCGATCCGCCAAAATGTCCCATTCCGGAGAAGAACTGCACGAAGTGCCACCGCCAGGACCGCGTCCAAAAAAACGCGGTCGGGAGAGAGAGAGAGAGAGAGAGAGAGAGAGACAGAACTGAAGGGGGCAAAGGGGTAGGGCGTGGAGGGGAAAGTGCGGGGGCGAGAAAGGAGGCAAAGTTTGGCGGAAGTCGGTCGCCATACGACGACTCCACGCTGCGGGGAGTCCGTACATCCTTTTAACTGTCTGCGCGGACGCGGGGGCTGGGCTGCAGCGCCACCGTGCACCGCCCCGCTACGCCTCGCCACGCCACCCGCTGCCCCGCCCTGCTCAGCGCTCAGCTACCCCGCGCAAAGAAAGTACGTCGTCGCGGGCGCGGCCTCGCAGAACATAAACTTGTCCCCGCGCTAGGTGGTGTCGCGAGCCCCCTGCCCCCGCCACCAGCTCCTCTCGTCCTCGTTCGAATGTCGGTTGCTGCGCTGCGGACGTTTGTTCTCCTCGCTGTTCGCGTACCACTTCCCGTCCTCCCCCTTCCAACCCCTTCTCTGAAGTGTCCTGACCGCTGCTTCCTCTGCCGCTTCATGCGCTCTACCCCCCCCCTCCCTCTCTGTTGCGGGCCCCTTACCCCTCACCCCGCTCCCGCACTACTAGCAGAGCAGTTTCTGATGAATTAAGTGCTTGTGAGGCTGGGACGGGCGAGGCGGGGCGGGGCGTGGCGAGCGGGCCGTGGGGTGACATTTGGGCCGGGACACAGGAGCGGCCGTGGCGGTGCCATTGCCAATTCACTTAGCGCCTGGTGCTGGTGCCCGCCCCGGGGTGGCGGCCGGGGGCGGCGGCGGCGGCGGCGGCGGCGGGGAGGCCCAGGATGACGCCCCGCTAACGCGCCGCGCCGCCCGGCGCCGCCTGTCCCCACCACCACCAAGGCCCGGGACACGCGTCAGAAACTTCTCGTATCCGGCGCAGTCCTCGCCACACCCTGCGTCCACACCACCACTCGGCACGGCCCGGGCGCATAGCTCGCAGTCGTCCTCGGCACCCTCATCCCTTGGTCCAGGTCTCCCCCCTCCCCTTCCGCCTCTCTGATGGAACCACGCAACCTAGGCACGCCAGGCAGGCGGCAGGCCGGCGGCAGGCAGGCGCTCCGAGGTGAGGAATGAGACGTTGAGACTCCCCCCTTCCATCCCCCACCCCCCACATCCCCGGCGATGGGGCGGGGGCGCTGTTGGGGTTGGATGCAGAGGGGAAATGGGGCAAGCGGTGCCGCGCTCTAGAAACGGCGTGACCCAAGTGAGCCAAGGCTGGGGGAGGCGGGGGAGGCCGCAGGGGAGGCGGAGCATCCAGCTGTGGGTAGGCTGACTGCCTCGCTATGAGCACGGGAAGGTCAAAGGTTGTACACCCAGAAAAAAAAGTTTTTCTTTGGTTTGAGGCCAACAAGATTCTGTAATGGACTTCTTCTTTAATTTATCTTTTCATGAACCGGCGGCCTCACACCTGGCCAGCTGGACCACTGGACCCCTGTAAGCGTCAGGGTAGGCCACCCCCCCCCCCCCCGGACAAATGCATGCCGTTGCCTACATACCAGGCGCTTTCTTCAGTCTTAAAATAAAACCTCTTCAATTCTACGTCTAAAACTGTCATCCTGATCCAAATGGTTAAACAATTTAACTCTGTGGGACGAGGGGGGACGGGGCGGATTGTAAATCTTATTGGGGGGGGGGGGGATAATTACTGCACTCCAAGAGGCTGGGTTTGTTCATTTCGTCGGGAAAAGAGTCGAAATAATGGAGCAGCAGCGCTGCTATGGTCTTCTTTAGCCCCACGTCCTCTGCCGCACCCCACCACTCACAAAATATCGCACTCGTAAAAAAAATAAGGGGGGTTTGGAGACAACTTTCCCGCGCTAAACTTGTCTCCCGGCTGGCGCTGCTGGCGCGCGCGCGGCTGGGCTATGGCGGTGCGGGCACAGAGCCCCCATCCTACCCCCCCCCCCTCCAATAGGGCAATAAAACCAAGGGCCCCCACTCATTATTTTGCCTGCGCTGAAGTACCGGACCGTCGCGCTTTGCTCCACGTGCAAGACCCTTGCAGACAGGGAGGCGGGTGTGCCGCGCGACGCAGGAGGCGGACTGGTTGCCTACCCTCCGTCGCGCGGGCGCTTTGGGCCGCGCCGGCCCAGCCACAGCCGCCGCCTCTCCAGCGCGTCAGACCTCCGACAGATGCAGTCGCCGAGTAAAGAGACCATATGTCGAGTGACCGCAAGAGTACCACTTCTCAGGGATGACTCTGTAAGCGCCCGTGGATGACCTAGCCTGCTTGCCAACAATTTAGCATTTCTTTTTTGACCGCCAAATTTTGGGAAATCCAAAAGGCATCATTCAGAGAGATCAAATAAAAAGCCAAGAGGAGGCAAAGAAACTCCAAAACACCGCAGTATCTAGAAGGATTACAGAATTTGGCCAGTAACAAAAGAATGTCTAAATCTTGGCAAGCAAATCGGCTGGTTCCGAATTTCGCTAGTTTTTCTTTTTTCCTTTACAGCAAATAGAGAAAATAGAGAGGAAAGAACGCCGCAACGACCTTCGTCCATGGACCGCCACGGCTTCGATCGTGCTGGCCGGCGAAAATTAAGAGCCGCATTTCCTAGCAACCTTGTCACTTCCTGCGCAGGGGTGGGGTGGCCTCTGGGCCTGGTCCGCCGGCGCCCCGATGGTGGAGGTGGAGAGAGACCTGCTTTTGTACCAGGCAGCAACTCTGCGTGACCGACGGAGGGAGGATTT